ATATGTAGTTTAATACATATGTGTGTATATACACATATGTATACATGGAGAGAGAGAGTCTTAGTTGCAGGATTAGGATTAAAAAAGTGATAAGGGTATACAAACATAAAGCGATACGTATTCACTGACATAAAAGGAATCTTGGAAGAAGAGTAAGTCTTTCTTATCATAGAACCATCAGTTCACTTTACCTGAGCTTTATGTATTCTGGCTTTCACTTTTTTTTTATTCTGCATCCTTTATCTAAGAGTTTCAACCAGTCTTATGACTTCTTCATTATGTATGAACAATGCCCTAACCTCTGAGGTCCAGATTCATAAATCTGACTTCCTCTTGGTATTGATCTCAGTGTTCTTCAAACATCTCAAAATTAATATCTCAAAGAAAGAAGACTACATTAAGTAGCACGTAGATCATGTGATTCTTTCTAGATATTTTGCTGACAAAATATGCCAGAAGACAGGTGAGGAATGTTTACAGCAACATTTTTTGTAATGATCACTGTAATATTCTAAATGATAAAAATAAATGTCCAGAACTTCACCCACATATTTTCAAGAGCATTTGGCTAAAGTAGACTGTTGTTCATGCATCTGTTTCTACCAACTCCTTCATGCTACTGCTTCCTACTCTATTAAATATTGATCCCGTTAACCAGGGACTCTTCAGTATATATCTAAGATATCTAAGTAAAATGACATTATTTTGACTTTCAAGGACCAAAAAACAGTCCTTTGTAAACATATGTTCTCACTGGCAAGTTATGGTGTTCTATGATAACCTAATGTGGAAATATTCCAATGAAATTGGAGGAGAGAGAGGGTTCCATGTCTCTAAAAAATGGACATGTATCCGCAAGCAGTTTATTCAAGAAACTTGGTTTTCCAATAATAGCTACACAATTGAGCACAGATGTATTTCCCAAGCATTTCTTCTAAAAAATTATGCAAATTATAAGAGCTTCACTATAAATTATCCAGTCCATTAATAGGAAAAAATAGCTAATGGATATAAAGAAGAGTACAAATTTAAATTGTAAAATGTGAGATTTTTGCCTCCTTTTATTCAGTTTAGACTACTTCATATCCCATATTGTTTTGGAAATCAAATTTAATGCATATATACATTATTAAGCCCTAGAGGGATTTTATGATATTGAATAACATTTCTCAAGTAGCTACACGAGCCCACTCAGAAGCATACGCAGAATTCCAATCACAAAGGAAATTTAAAGCCCACAGTGATTGAACTTTGAATTCAAGTTCAGAAAAATTTATTTGTCCCTGTAACTTTCAAAAGCATTTTCCAAAATACACCTGGATGATCACCCTGGAAGTGATTACTGATTCTCCGTGACTAGGAGGGTTTGTAAGTTGAGGATATCTTCTAGCCATCTCCAAAAAGAAGGACCTCTTCACATGCAAGCTGAGAATGAAGTTCTAACAGAGAAATCAAAGGTCAAGGGCAGAAACATCCAGACCTTAGTGAAATCACAGTGATTTACACCTTGCTTAAGCCATGATCCCACAGTTTGCCAACAGCAGAAGCTTGGGCAAGAAAACTGACCTTCCTATTTTTCAGAGGTTTCTGTCTGTCATAGAAGAATAAAAGTTCTTACCTTACAAGGATTTTATGAAAATTAAATGAAAAACAAACACATAGCAAGCATTCAACTTAATAAACTGTGATACAGACAAATCATTGAATACTTAGTAGGCTTATTTTTATTGTTGTTACAATTGGGATAATTATTACTACTCCATTACCTCAAATGACCAAAGACATTTTCCATATTAATGCTCAGAGGCTTTTTTGATATCATTTGTGATAGAAATAGCCTTCCCCTGTTCTGCATCTGTTATGCTAACTTATTAGCATATTACAAAAGTGTCCTTACTACAATGTACATTAGACCAGAAATCCTCTTGAGTAAACAACAACAACAACAACAATGTTAACATGTCCTGGGTGTCCACGGCAAGCCAGGCATGGATTCAAGGGCTTTGCACATGTTATCACACAGCCACTTCCTGCATCAGGTACTTGTGTTATACCCATCTAAGAAACTCATTAAAAGAATTCTACTTTATTTCTTCTGTCTACTGCTCAGACTAAGATTTGTTGTCTGGCTTACAGGAAAGTGAATGTTTCTCCTATTACTTGGATGGCAATGTGTACCAGGTGCCCAGATGGCATGGAGGAGGGGGTGTCAGGCAAAGACTATGGAGGCCGGTCAAAGTGTTGCATGGGAGGAAGCATGCACTGGGTCCTAAGGGATGAGTCAAGGCTCAACCAGGCAGAGCAAAAGCAGAAAAGGTGAAAGTAACACCCACCTTCTGGAAACTGAACATGCTTCAAGGTCTGACTTGAGGGAGTGATCTAGGACAGAAAGGCAGGCTCTGAGAGAAAGGGGAAGCCAGAGCCTCGATGGTGGATAACTACACACCAGGTTTAAGTTTGCAGTGATGCTTAGGGTCAGGGGCCATGGGATGCATCCGAAGTACTTAAACTGGACTTTCCTGTACATAATCTATTGTAGCAATCATTTAGAAGCATGGAGAAGGGAAACAATGTTATTAGACTCCAAGGTAAATTAAACCTAGAATAAATAAATGATGAGGAAAACCTGCAAGAAGTCAGTGGTAGAGGAGCTGGAAAAGAGGGATGCATTTCAGAAAGAGGAGGCTGAATGGGCAAGTGAAGTGGTTGACAGGATGTAGCTGGTAAACAGGAGTGGAGGACTCAGTGAAATTCCCAGCCTCCAGCACCGGGTAGATGGTGATCACAATAAAGCAAGAACACAAAAGGAGAACCAGGAAGCTTCTACTTTTTAGTTGCTGAGGTAGATAATGAGCCCAAAGAGAGAATTTGAAAATTTCCTGCCTCTAGGTTGACAAATGTTTAATCATTTAAAAAGGTCCTAGTGGAGGGGTTCCCAATGGACTCCAAGAATGGATCCTAACTGGGGGAACCTTGGTTTGAGTACGCTGCTACGACAAGTCACACAGACACAAAGTGTGAAATGACTACTGAAACACCTCTTCTGAGGGTGTACTGAAAGGAAACAATAAGTGGGGACAGTATAGTTTCCCATAGCCTTGTTTATAGTAATAAGAAAATGGAATAATTGTTTAAAAATAAGAAGTTATGATACACACCAGAGAAACTATTCACCTTGGGATAATAATCATTATTTCATAAATTTCTTTCACAAACTCATTTTGCATTGCCTTTTCTTCTTTTTAATCTCCCTGAGGTGCTATAAAAGACCAATATTATGTGAATGTCATGAGTTTGAATAATGGAGACACATTATCTTCCTTGTATTTTTTCCTCCCTCACCTCTTTGGTGACTCTCTTATTTTTGTGTATCTATTGTAGTGTGATGAATACCTAATTGTTCTCCCATGAGAGAAATGACACCTTAATAAGAGCATGCTAAATAGAAAAGTATGCATGAGGCAAATTTCTTTCTGAGGGATTTAGAGAAACGGAAAGGGCAATCCCTGTCTGATGCAAGAGGGAATTTGGGTTCTGGTTTCAGTAAAAAGGACTTGCATTTTCGAGTCCTTAAAATCTGTTAAAGGCCATTTGCATGGCCAAAGGAAGGCCACCTGATAAGACTGTCACAGATAAGCAGTCACAGGTATATATGTCTTGGGCAGAATTTCTGATACACCCTGACAATGAGGCAGTCAGCACACTTAAAATAGCATAAAATTTGAGGAAGAATTCACAGGCAACTGTGTATTTAAATAATTCATCTTAATATGAGAAAGACTTTTGTTAATAAACCAGAACATAAAGTTTATCTTCCCCTTTCAAAAAAAAAAAAAAAGCTGCAATGGCATAAAACACCTTTGGATAAGCCCTACTTGCATTAAAGTATTTCCCACAGTCTCAAATCTTTCTTGCTGGTGGAGAACTATGCTTCAACTCCTCAAGGTCTTAAACAACATCCACTGAACAGCCGGACATGTTAAAGGGAGAACAAATTTCTTTTCTTCCACCAGATGGAAATAAGAAATGTAAGTGTTGTACACACAGAAACAATATCTATGACTTAGAATTTTGTCATCCTATA